AACGAGAAAACAACTCTCGTTATGTCGATATAACGAGAAAATTAAGTCGTTATAACGAGAAAACAAGAATGAAAAAAAAAAAGAATGCATGGCCGCTTAGAACTTCCGTATTTAGCAGCAAGAACCTCAAACAAACTTTTCTGATAACTACAGATCAGTCTATATATATACATATATATATATATATATATAGAGAGAGAGAGAGAGAGAGAGACTTTTTTTAGCTGGTGAAAATACTAGTGTTCTAATAATTTTGGCCACCACTGTATATGCACACGTGTGTGTGTGTGTTTAATGTACATGAATTGTCCTGAATGACTGATCTTGCCTTTCATTTACATCTGGAAGTGAATTTCATTGCATTTTATCTAGACTACATATTTGCTGTGCTTGCAACATAGAAGAAAAAAATGTAAGAAGTTTGAATCCATGTTTGAAAAGCTCCTGTCTCAGCATCTCCACAGGCCTCTTCCTTTGAGGCTGGTAATGTTGTTCTGGACCACTATGTCAACAATGCTGCTGTTCCATTTAAAATAATCTTGATTGTCCACCTGAATGATCTCAAACTTAAATTCTGAAAAATGTTTGGAAATTTACAATAAATAACAGATGTTGTCCCAGGAGGACTAAGAATCTGTACTATCAACAATCACAGTCTTTTCACACACCTCACCTCACACCTCTTTTCTCACATCTTCCTCTTTGCTCATCCCTTTCTACCTGTTACACTCTTCATCTTCTCTCTCATTACACCTCTTTCTTTAACCCCCCCCCCACACACACTTTTATTTTTATTTATTTTATTTTAACTATTTTTTTGCACATTCATTCTTGCTCTTTGTATACTTTCCCTTTTATTATTAAATAATTATTAATTATTATTATTCCCTTTTAGTAATTCTTTAGCATGAGAAGAAGACCGTTTTTAACAACAACAAAAAAGCTGTATAGGGCATTTGGTTCAAAACTTATAAGCAGTCAGTCAAACTTTGAGCAGTTTGTGCCACTAATGAATTTAAGTATGTGATATATAATGTCATAATTGTGAGATATAGGAAATGTATTTGAGGTTTATTTTTACCTGGTTGTATCAATCTAAAGAAACTTTAAACACTCACTTAACTCCTCTCAGCAAAAATAAATAAATAAAATAAAATAAAATAAAATAAAAATCATCCATAGTGACCCGTTCATATCTATTGTTTTGATGGAATATTGGTGAAATGCTGTAAACTTCTGTTTTCTGTCAATTTGCCAAAGTTGCTTCTGTCCCCTTTTGAAAGCCACTGATGCTTCCCAAAGGCATATACAACACACAAAAAAAGCATCTCCAATCTGTAAGCACAATCACAAACATGGCACTTAGTCTAAATAAAATAGTTTTATGTAGCCTAACAAATATATGACATTATTTCAAATAAATGAGAAAAAAAAGTGGGTCGAGACTCGAAACTATGAAAATAAATGTTTAGGTTACAACTGCATCTGTATCAGAAATAAACATCTATTTGATT